CCCAGTAGGGGGTGTGGCAGGAGGTAGACAATCAATGATTTTCTCATCATTGATGTTTCTATCTCTGAAATCAATAAAAATATTTTTTAAAAAGAAAAGAAATAACAGCTGAAAAATTTCCCAATTTAATACAAACTACAAGCCCACAGATTAAAAAAAACCTCAACAAGCCTTAACCAGAATAAACATAAAGAAAATTATGCCAACGCACATTGTAATCAGCTTGGGAAAAGCAGTGAAGAGAATAAAAGCAGTCAGAAAACAAGACGTTCTGTTCAAAGGAATAATGAACAACACTAGGCTTATCATCAGAAGCGACCCAAGACAGAAGACAATAGAGCAATATCATTAAGGTACTGAAAGACTAGTCCATCAACCTAGAATCTTTAATCCAGAGAAGTACTTTTCTAAATTGAAGGGAAAAATAAAAGCTTAGAGAATTCATCATCAGATCTGTACTATGAGAAATGTTAAGGAAAATTTTTTAGGCAGAAGGCAAATGATATCAGATAGAAATCTATTATCTCTACAAAAGAAATGGAGAGCACAGACTGATATATATTTGGGTAAATATAAAAGACATTTTTACCAAAATGATAATACAATATATGCTATGGTCTAAATGTTTGGGACCAATGGGGAGGGGGGTAGCAAGATAGGATATATAAACTTAACCATACCATAAATTACATTAAATGTAAATGGTTTAAGCATCCCAAGACAGATATTGTCAGACAGACTTAATTATATGCTATGTATAAGAAATTCATGTTAAGCCCTAACTGGTTTGGTTCAGTGGATAGAGCGTCGGTCTGCGGACTGAAGGGTCCCGGGTTCGATTCTGGTCAATTGCACATGCCCAGGTTGCGGCTCGATCCCGATCCCCAGTAGGGGGCGTGCAAAAGGTAGCCAATCAATGATTCTCTCTCATCATTGATGCTTCTATCTCTCTCTACTTCCCCCTTCCTCTCTGAAATCAATAAAAATATATTTTTTTTTAAAAAAGAAATTCATGTTAAAACCCTAACCCCCGCAAGTGATAGTATTAGGTGAGGCCTTGGGGAGCTAATTAGGCTCCACCCTCAAGAATGTGATTAGTGCTCTTATAAAAGAGACCCGGGAGAGATCCCTCCTCCCTTGCAATATTGTAAGGTTACAGCCAGCTGGCTCTCACCAGACATCTAATCTGTCTTAGACTTCCCAGCCTCCAAGAACTGTGAGAAATAAATTTCTGTTGTTTATAAACTACTCACTCCCTGGTATTTGTTAGGATAGCCTAAATAGACTAATATAATATATTGTCAGATTTATAGCATAGGTATAAGTAAAATGTATGACAATAACAGCAAAAATATGGGAGAGCAAAATGAAAGCATACTGCTGCAAAGGTTCTTGCATTATACATGAGGTGGTAAATTATTATTTGCAGAAAACTTCTGAAAATTTAAAGATACATACTGTAAAGCCTATAGCAGCCACAAGAAAAATGAAACAGAGAAATATATAGCTAACAAGGCAATAGTGGAAATAAAAGGAAATCATAAAAAAAAACCTCAATCCAAAAGAAATCATGAAAAGAGGAAAAAAGGAACAAAAACCATATGGGATAAATGTGTGTGTGTGTGTGGGGGGGGGGGGTAGAAATAGCAAGATAGGAGATATAAACTTAACCATACCATAAATCACATTAAATGTAAATGGTTTAAGCATCCCAAGACAGATATTGTCAGACAAACCCAACTGTATGCTATCTATAAGAAGTCCACTTTAAATATAAAGACACAAACAGGTTAGAAGTAAAAGGATGAAAAAAGACATATCTTGCAAGCTTAAACAAAAGAAAGCTAGAGTGGCTATAGACTTCAGAACAGATAATACCAGAGATAGAGACATTTCAGAATGGGCCAATTCTTCAAGAAGACACAATAATACTAAGTGTATCTCTACCTAATATCTGAGCTTCAAAATACATGAAACAAAAAATAATGGTATAAGTGACAGGAGAAATATTATAGTTGGAGAGTTCAACATTCCCCTCTCAGTAATTGATAGAACGAGTAGGCAAAATCAATAAGGATATAGAAGACTGCGCAACACTACCCACCAACCTGACCTAACTGATGTCTATGACACGCTCCGCCGAGCAGCAGAGACTATTCCTTCTTGTCTGGTCCACATTAAACATTCATCACAGCAGACCACATTCTGGACTATAAATCAAGCCTCCATACACTTAAGTGGACTTAAATTATACAGGGCATGCTTTCTTACCACAATAGAATTAAACTAGATATCAATAATAAAAAAGATTACTTGGAAAATCCTAAAAACTTGGAAAAGAACATAAACAACATGCTTCGAAATAACCAGAGTAAAAAAAAAAAAAAAAAAGTCACAGGGGAAACTATTTTAACCAAATGCAAATGAAAATACAGTGTCTCCAAACATGCGAGCTAGAGCTAAACAAATCAAAAAAGGGATTCAGTAACAAATTTATCTCATAGCATAATTTAGCTGAACAGTGGCTGTTATTCATCATTACATAAAGCAGCTTAATTCACTGATATTTACTGATCCTCTCCTTAAAAGCAAAGAATCTTGCTGGCTGTTCCTGGGGATAGTCCCTTAATTTGGCAGATAAAATTAAAATTAAGGCCTTTACCTAAACTCCAAAGCCAAGCTAGACAGAGGAGACAGAAATGCCACATAAGTGAATGCACCGATCCCTCCAGTGCAAGGAGAAGCAGGCAAGGCTGTGTGAGGGGGGAAGCATGTGGCTTGGGCTTAGAAGCCTCACAATACAGAGGGCTGAGTGAGTACAAATAGGGCTCTAGCCAGAGGTGCAGTGGGACAAAAAACAGAAAGCAGAAAGGCCAAAAGGCAGGTGGCAGGTTCAGCGAACAAGCAGCTAATTCAACTTCACTACAACGCAGGCATCGCCTAAGAGAGGAAGCTTGGGACTGGACTGTTAAGGACCTGGAGTGACCTGCAGACTGGACTTGAAGCCAGACCTTGGGTGTGAGTCCTGGGTCTACTGTTGATTAATAATGGGACCATAGTCCCATCTCTCCATTCTCTGAAGCCCACTTTCCTCCTCTGTGAAGTAGACTGAGAGAATCCCTGTCTATCACGCAGAGTGCTGTGGGAGCAACTGCACCACCCCATGGTGAAGCACTAGGCGACACAAAGGCAGAGGGAAGGTACTGAAGGCTTCGGTGAGCTGGAGGGTGGCCGAGAAACCCTGGGCTGAAGGAAGATGAATGACACCCTCCTGATGTGAATGCTGGATGAGAAGAACGTGAAATAAGGCTAGCGTAGCAGTGCAGGCAAGGAGTAACAAGGGCCTCAACCAGTGAGGCTGTAGGAGAAGTACCAAGGAAGAGGCAACCAAAGGAGCCCTCAGGAGATGGGCCCAGAGACTGATTGAGGATGGGATGGGAAGCCAGGGAGGAATAAAGTGGAACGTGGGTCTAAAGCAGTGGACATGTGGAAGAATTTGACCCCCAAACAGGGAAGTTAGAAAATAAGCCCTATATTCTAGGTGTAAAGCTTCTAAACAAATTTTGACCTATACAATAAGAAACAGCTGACTATGGAAGGAAAATAAAATCTCATGTAAAAAAAATTTAATCCTAGAAACTATGCATCTATTCTAAAAGTATCTGGTGGCAAGCCACTTCTATATACAAATGCTATTCAGTAAAACATTATAGCTGACTTTTACCATATAATTTCTGACAAGAATTTTTATGCATATTGTCATTTTACTTGAAAGTTGCAATAAATGCAAAAATTCACAAGTGAAGACACCACAGGAAACTACTAAAGTATTATTGTAGATGCACCAGAATTCACCACCGAATAAATCTTTTGTGTTGAATCGGCAATGTCAAAGCAGGTAAAATGTGAAAAAATCAGCATGGCGGTAGGGGGGAAAATCATTTTTTTAAACTGAGTTTTCTGCTTTAATAAAAAATTCATTTAAAAATGTAATCAGCCCTGGCCCATGTGCTCAGTGGTTAGAGCACAGGTTCTGCAATTAAAGGTGGGGGTTTGATTCCAGTCAAGGGCACATACCTGGATTGCAGGTTTGATCCCTGGCCCCAGCTGGGGTGCCTGTGAGAGACAACCAATCAATGTGTCTCACATCAATGTTTCTCTTATTTTCTCCCCCTTCTCCCCCCTCTCTAAAAAAAACAACAACAATGGGAAAAATATCCTCAGATGAGGATTAACTACAAATACAAAAAAAACAAAAAACAAAAAAGTAATCAATCAAGAAAGCCTAGTCACCTGAATCCACTGAACACACAAACATAACAGAAAACACCATCCTTAAATAAAGTATAGTTGTATGAGCTGTGAATTGTGTGTGAATGAACACAATGCTAACTAGTGACCCAGAATTCTACCTAAGGTTATCAGGCTGAAAAATAAAACCTTATTTCATACCAATAGAACCACTGTCACATACTTGAACCTGATGGACTATGTAACAATATGATCACTTTTCAAAATGATTAGAAATTACGTTTGAAAATGTTCATTGAAATTAGGTTAGGTTTAAATTTTTTTTTAAAAAGTCAAGTAATTTCTAAAACAATATAGCACCCAAAGTAAAAATAGATTAGATCTAATTAGCTCATTCCAATAAACTCAATGGGTGAAGGTTTGTTGTTTCATGAGAAGAGCTTTTCCAAGCTTATCTAAGAGATACTTAGAACTGTGTCTATTATCTATTACATGCCCATTTACAAATTACGCCTAAGACAATGGAAAGAGCCATTCAAGGTCTGCCACTACAGCTTTGTGCTAACATACTATATTTTTGCTCAGAATCAGTTAGTATAGAAAGTGTACATGTAGAAAGAAACTGTAACTAGCGTCCTGGGAGTAATATACTTAACTTCTTAGATGTAGTATGTAAAACAATCCTCAAAAGGCAATCAGAAGGGGGAGGGAGGAGAGGGAAACATCTGGATGGGCTCCAGAGAACTCACCCGTGCAAAGTCAAACGCATATCTGTAAATAAGTTTAAAGTTTGTAGAATCATTTAATAATGATCTTAAGTAATCCAAAGTATTTCTGAGTTTTTCTGTTGTATCACATCTAGAAAAACAGAATAAAGGCAAATTATAACCTGAGTTTTTTCTTAATTGGGGCAGTAATATAAAAACACAATACCAAAAGACAGAATAAAAACTCCGGAGTTGGGACACATCCACAATGACCTATTTTTCCTACACTTTTTATTTTTAAAAATTTCAACTGTACAGGAAAGATGAAAGAACAGTTAATAAGCACCCATATACCCATCCCCCCGGTTCACAATAAACACTCCCACTTGTGCTCTCTCTCACATACACACACTTTTTTCTGAACCATTTGAAAGCAAGTTATCAACAAAATGACACCCTAAACACTTAAATACCATCATCACACTTAATATCCTATCAATGTTAACTTTCTTAGCTAATATATAACCCACATTGTCAATTTCCCAATTGTTCCCCCAATTTTCTTTATAGCTGTGGCTTTCTTTCAATCAGGATCCAATTAAGACTCATGCATTGCTTTTAGTTGTCATATCTCCTTAGTCTATGGAAGGGTGTCCTGCCTTTTTGCTGTCGTTCTTGAAAATGTCATTCTGAAGAGATCAGACTAGTTGTTTTATAGAATCTCAATTTGTCAGGTAATTTCCCTATAGCTGTATTTAGGTCAAGCATGTATGATAAGAACACTACACATGATGTCCTCCCTGGTGCAGCCCAGGAGGAGGCTGACACGTCACTCTGCTCCATCACTGGTGACACTGAGCTGATTCATTTGGATAAAGTGGTGTCCACTAGATTCCTCAGGTAAAGACACTTTTCCCTCTGAAATAGTACACAGTTTGTGGTATATCTTAAGACTCTGAATCCTGTTCCTCAAAAACCTTCACTTGGTGGTTTTGCCATCCATTGATGATAGCTGGTTGAATTGATTCTACATTTGAAGGTCCAAATTGGTGATTTTTACAATTCTATCATGCTTTTATACTTATGGCTCGAATTCTTCTCAAAAGAAGAGCTCTACTCAACACCTTTCTTATTTTTTGTGAGTTAAGGAATTTTTGCTTTTCATTCAGTGTTATAAGCTATTACTGTCTTTATCCTTTTTGATGAACAAACTGTTCTCATTTGAGCTATGGCCCCTTCAAGCTGCTCCAGTGTCCTTCTGACATGCCCCCATCAGTCTGTCAGTACATCCTCACTTTCTGGCACAAGATATTCAGCTCACTTTGTACTTTCCCTACTTTAGACTTGAAATCAGCTATTTCTCCAGAAAGCCCTGGTGGTGATAACCTATTTTTACAGGAAAGTGACACATTGTTTACTTTTTCTAAGGAAGTACACTAATTGGTTATTTTTACAAACTGATTTTCTGTTTATAATATCTAGCTCTTAAAAAATGAGAACCAAAAAGTCCCTACTTTCACCGGCAATATTCAAGCTTTTCAAAGCTGCATTTCCCTGTTTCTCTGTAGAGCTTTTATCTACTACTAAGTATAGACCATACACATGACAAGTATTATCAATGAAATATTGTAAATACTTTATAAATGAAAATATAGTTCATAATAGAACACACTGATCTATTTTTAGCAATACATTTGTGAAAGCTAAATATAAAAAAAGTCCTCATGATCTACTGAGACAAAATATCTAAAAGCCAAAAATGAAAGTAAATATTTCATTTGTGAGTCTACAACAAAACAGAATGTTCTTTATTTCTTGCTAATGTTTGAAAACTAAAAGAATATATATATACGTGTGTGTGTGTGTGTGTGTGTGTGTGTGTATATATATATAACTATTTTAGAAGTCAGAAATGGCTTCTTTAAGGAACTAACATGTAAATTGAGAGCTAAAAGAAGAAACTCAATGTTTTTGGAGAGAATGGCTTTCCAGATAAAAAGAACAGCATGTGCAAAGGCCTAGTGGTAGAAGGGAGTGTAGAAAGTCCAAAGACCAAAGACGAAAAGAAAACCATTGTTAAGTAGACTAGGTAGAATAAGAGGGGAAGTGGTACAAGATGAAAGGGAGATGGGACCAGACCATAAAGAGTTTCTGTGGCCCACAGTGTTTATTTTTTAATTGAGTCCTAGAGCCAATGGAAGCCACCTCCTGCCATGGGAGAGACCAGGATCAGGCTTGCATTTTGAAAGGCTCACTCTGGAAGAAAGGGGGAGAACTGATAGCCTAATTTGAGATGTAGGGCCAGAACCCAACTGAGAGACAATAGAGGATAAAAGGACGGGATACACAAGAAAGCAGTAAGTGGGAGCAGAGCTCACTTCGCATTGGGCACTCTACAGTATGGTTTTTTTATTACCATGTATATAAATAAATAATATTAATAATATGAGAAGGGTCAATGCTAACTCCAAAACATATAAGGTCGAGCGAGGTCCCTGCTCTTCAGTGGAAAGGAAAGTTAAGTATCAAAGCCACAGGAAATTGGCCAGATTTTGATGGGTGATTTAGTTCAGTCATGCTCAATGGGAAGAGGAACAGTTGTTTGTTTCAACAGATTCAAGGACAGGAAGCACTCATTTAGATAACTGCTACACAGTTAAAAGGAAATAAAGAAGCTCCGAGTCTTTGGGTAGAACTGCAAGGCAAAATGTCAAGTTCTGCAGCCTGCCTGGGCGTGAGTCCAACACTCTGGCAAAAGATGTCCCTGTGTTTCAAAGACCAGAGATCTTGTCTAGAGTGTACAGCACAAAATGCCCAAAGTAACATTTCAATTTTATATATCTATAAAGGATAGTTACCTGGGTTAGAGATGATATTCTCAACAAAGAATTTAATCTGCTTTAAAAAGGACTTTGTCAGGCAGACCCTCTGGACTAACCACTTGGGAAGCAGGCCACTGAGTCACCAGGCCACTGAGTCACCAGAGGTTGCCATCTAGTGGCCACTCAACAAGATCATTAGCAGAACTGTCAGCTCTTACAAAGGGCCTGTGAAGAAACAGGCTTAGCAAGTAAGCAACCAGCAGAGCTTTTTCAGGAAGCAGCCACATCTTCAATCCCTTTCTGTGAACCACGCACAAGAAAACACAGATGCTGCAGAGTGACAGTGCCACACTGCTACCAAACAAAATATACACATACAGTGGGATCATTTCTTGAGTTTCACTGCCACAAACACATTCGGAGTAAACATAAATCAAGACAATAATCCTCAAAAGTTATAAAATCAAAGGAAGTTCTCTCCCATTTCGTGGAAAAGGCCTTCACCCCTTCACTCAGTCAACCCAAAGATATTTTCCCAACCCACCATCAGGTCTATGCAGTTAGCTACCACACTAACACACTTCGTTTTTAGCTTAAACATCCTTACAAAACAGCAATTTTCAACCTTTCGCATCTCACAGCACATGTAAACTAATGACTAAAATTCTGTGGCATGCCAAAAACTATATATTTTCCCAATCTGACTAAAAAATTAAGTATAATTTTGATTCATTCACAACGGGCAGCTATTGTTGTTGGTTGTTGTCATTTTTAAATTTGATAATCAAAGGGAAAAGAGGTCAGTGCCTCTGGCTAAATATCTATTGCATGTTTTCAAAATTCTTGTGGCACACCGGTTGAAAATCAGTACTATAAAGCTTAATTCATCAGCAGTAGCCTTAATGCATGTTGGAACAAGGCAGAAAATAAACCATCAATTAAAACAAGAGCTGTGTCTTCCCTGACTGAGAATGGCCTAGGGAGCGTGGGGACACTTCTTCCCAACCAGAGAGGCCACACCCACAACTCTGTCTACACAGCGTCAAGGAGATGAGTCAAGGCTAGTTTCTGAGTGCCCAAGTGTATGCCACATTTCATCACTTCACTTTCCTGGTTTTAGAAATGCTACCAGACACCCAGGAAGTAGCTGAACTGATTCAAAACTATCTGGTTCCAAAACCCATGAGTTATTTCTAGCACACTTCCACTGTACAGCAACAATTTTTTTAAAAGCATTTATATCAAATTATACTAGTATATAGACACTATATATATATATATATTATATATGTGACTATATATTTTATCATATACATACTTTAAATCCAGTTTGAATCTAAAAGTTTCCATTTAGAGCATATAAATGATTGGCTTGAGTTTTTTTATTTACTGAGTGTGCACACCTTACAAATACAGAACTTATTTAGTTAATTCAAGTAGCATAAAGAGAACTAACCTTATTACTTTTGCCTGAACATTGCTTCTAAGCCCCAACCCTGAATGGGCTTTGTCTTGTTCATGGGTTTTGTTTCTCCAGAACCTAGAATACTGTGCTTGGCACATCACTATCATTCAAATATTTGCTGAACAAATAATAAATCTAGGGAGGCTGGAAGGAGGAGGGAGAGGGGTTCTTAAAACATGAAATTGGTCTATTTTTGAACTACAAAGAACCTTACAGATTATTCTGAGTAATTATCTCCACCTCACTGATGAGAAAACCAGTCTCAAGAGTTTTATATCACAAAAAGAAAGCAGATTCCTCAGCACCCTTAGAGGATCAGGCTTGAAACGACACACTGCATTTTATAGGAACCCACCTGCCACCAAGCAGAGTCCTCAACAAAAAGCCTGTGAAGTGCTCCCCACCCCCAACATACACGTAGGCCTCTTCCAGGAACTGCATATTTCACTTCCCAGGTGGTGAGGCCTTCAAAACACATGGGCAAGGCCTGGCTGGCATCGTGCAATATTCTTTTGTAAAGACAAATGTAAAAAAGAATCTAAAGCTATATAAAAAATAAATATTATACTCTCTTAAAAGAAATGAAACTGGCCAGAGTGGCTTAGTGGTTGAGCGACCTATGATGAACCAGGAGGTCACGGTTCGACTCCCAATCAGGGCACATGCCCGGGTTGTGGGCTCGAACCCCAGTGCAGGAGGCAGCCGATCAATCATTCTCTGTCATCATTGGTGTTTCTATCTCTCCCTCTCCTTTCCTCTCCGAAATCAATAAAAATATATTTCAAAAAAATAAAAAAGGACAAATGAGCAGCCACCACGTACTCTATTCAGAAAGCCACGAAGAAAGGCAGCGAGGAAAACAATGAAAGAGTTAAAGGCTTAAAATCATAAGTAGTTTGCCAACATGACAACACAATTTTAGAGATTTCAGAGACTTAACCCTAAAATTCTAGAATATGCTGACAGGAAAGTGTATTTGTAAAAAGGTGATTTGGCTTTTACCTAAAACTCATTTGCCATCAGCCAACAGTTGTTAGAAGAAGAATGTGACTTCAGAATCAGAAGTATTGGGTTTTCTTCCCATCTCTGCCACTTACTTTCACAAATCACGTATTCCCTCTGAGCCTCAGTTTCCTTATTTGTAAAGTGCACAAGGCTCAAGCCTGAACTGTCCCCAAAGCCATGGGAAAACAGTGATAAGGCTTCATAAACTACTAAAGTGCAAAACAAATAAGCATTATTATCAATAACAAATAGACAATGATACTAAAAGTTGACAAAAATTCCAAAATTATTTAAATAAAACCACTTCAACTCCAATTTTAATCTAATAAAAACTGAAATCTTATTCCCAGTTAAAGTGAAAAGGAAAAGAGAAGTTATTCTAGATCACAGCTATATATCTTCCAGCCGTTTGAAATGTTTAGTCATCCACCTCAACTGTATCCTTCAATGCATAACATAGAATACAATTTATGTTTTCTTGAATGAAACTCTCAGCAAACACACACATATACATCCACAGACACACACCACACACACACATAAGCACAAAGGGAACACATAAAACCACTGACTTTTTTCTTATTCTGGGCCAGGTAACACACACAGAATCTTTATTATTACTATTTTTTAATCACTAGAGTAATGAAGTTCCAATTTTGCCCTAAGCTAACACAGAATATATAAAATAGAAGATATCAAACATTTTTACTTATAAGTTACACTTTTCTCAATTTTTTCTCACTAACTATAAACCAGATTCTAATAAGCCTTTGCTGTTTAAGCTCTACCCCTGGGCTGTTCAATCCAGTAGCCACTAGACCAGGGGTGGGCAAACTTTTTGACTCGAGGGCCACAATGGGTTCTTAAACTGGACCGGAGGGCTGGAACAAAAGCATGGATGGAGTGTTTGTGTGAACTAATATAAATTCAAAGTAAACATCATTACATAAAAGGGTACGGTCTTTTTTTTTTTTTTTTAGTTTTATTCATTTCAAACAGGCCGGATCCAGCCCGCGGGCCGTAGTTTGCCCACGGCTGCACTAGACACATGTGGCTACTGAGCACTTGAAATGCAGCTAATTCAAAATAGTTCATTGATTTTTAAACTATTTATTACATGCTGGAATGATAATAATTTGGGTTAAATAAAATATATTAAAATTAATTTTACCTGTTTCTTTTTACACTTTTTTAATGTGGCTATTAGAAAATTTTTAATTACCTATGTGGTTCACATATACGAGAAAAGGCTAGTCTATTTCCTACTGGGTAGAGCTGCTCTAGAATACGAAAATAAATAATATACACTCACATAAAAACTTTAATTGCTAAAATTCAACCATAAAGCCCTCCTCATCATATAAAAATGACACATGGCCCCAGTAGAAGTCTGCCCAGATCAGCTGGCCTTCATCCAGTCACCCAACCCAGGCTCCCTGAGATCCCAGGGAAGAGGCTGCCAGCTTGGGAGAGTAGTGACCCCCCAGTTCAGTCTTAGGACTTACTGTAGAGAAGTCATTCCTTTTAACCATTCCTGTAGAGTAAAATAACCCATATTTTGTGCATCCAATTTCCAAGCTAGGACAAGCATAACTACCTGTTAAAAAAAAAAAAAGAAAGCCCAATCAAATCAGAACAACAGACCTCAGCAATTAAATACATTAACATCTCGCCAAATGCTTCTGTTCATGGTAGTTTAGTCACTGAAATATGAACAGAGTAACTTAAAAAATGAGTTCTACAATGGCAATCATCTATAAGTTTGATAATTCAGTCTGCTGACAAGGGTTTGGAGAAACACAAACTCTTATGATGCGTGCTGGTGAAAGTGTAAAGAGATTAACCTTCCCAGAGGGCAATTTTGCAGTGCCTATCAAAACTAAAACCAGTAATTGACTCAGCAATTCCACCTACGGAAAGTTATCTTATAGATATACCTGCACATATACATTAACGTGTATATTCAACAATGGTGACCACAGTACTATTTGTAGAAGCAGAAGATTGGAAACAAACATTTATAAATAAGGGACTAGTTATTGCATACTTCTTTGCTAAATATATTCCACATGAAGGAATACTATGCCCCCATTACAACAAAGTAGACCTATGGGTACAAATAGGGAACAATCTCTAAGATTTATTAAATGAAAAGAGCAAGGTGCAGAACAGAGTTAAAAAATTAAAAGGTGGGTGGTGAGATACACAATTGAGACACATACAGTGGAGTTGTATCACAAATACATTAATGTTTGTAAATTCAACTGTGTAGACTGGGGGAATTATTGTAAAGTAGCCCAATGGCCCACATAAACAGCACTATGCCTGGACTGAGCCCAGGAGGAGCGGCAGGGCCCAATCTTTCCTGTGAGGCACCATATAAACATATCGAACAGCTGTAGTATGATGGCAGGATTAAGTGTACTTTTTCTGTTTAAAATTTCCTTTCATCAGATATTAATTAAATCAGTACATATCAATTTTTAAAGTCACTAGGTGTTTTAGATTTCAAAAATCTAGATTACTAGGTAGATTATGAGGACTGATTAGTAAGCCAATGCTTTTACATTATTATGTTCATCGTCACAAAATGATTGGTAAATAGGTTACAAATGGTAACTTAAGAGACCGATGGGCTATTTAGAAGAATTTGCCCAAAAGAATAAGTTATATGTTCTTTAAAATATTTACACATTAGAGGATTTTCTCCTCATCTCTTGAACTAACCCACATTTTTATATTCAAACTTGGTATGTTCTCAATATCTACATTCAACCATCTATTAGAAAGATTTTTTACATTCCGCATAAACATGTTTAAAAAAATGGTGAAGACACAAGAACACAGACTGCACATGATATGTGTCTAAACTGCCAAAACAGACGTTCGCCGTGGGGATTTCTTTACACAAAACAGACCTTTTCTTTTAATGGCTAATAAGAAAGCTAACTATTTAAATAAAGGATCTTGCTGTTACCTTAGTAAATGAAAGTAGACTTGAATTTTATAACCTGCTTCAACTCTATACGCTATAAATATCAGGCAAGGTGAGAGTTTTAAATACTTTAAGGTGCTTACTCATTGATGCAAATGGCCTTTTAAAAACTATTTTTGCTGCTTTTTCAAATGTTAACATTTCTGAAATTGTAATGTATCCCCAATTAATGGCATATCTGGGTTTATTTGGCAACATTTTTTCTTTCTTAGTGATGATACAACTTATATAAGTTCTATTAGTGGCATCTTAGAATTGAAGTACAGTAATAAATACTTTAAAGTATTCTAAATTCGGTCTTTGAGTCTTCAATGTACATGATTCAACATTTCAAGACTATTTTTACAGAAAGAGAGCTAAAGGACTCATTACTGCCCCAAAAGGACTCATTACGCAGCTCTCTTTTACTGAGTACTGCTATTTGGAGGTGAGGAACTTTGGAGAGCTGAGGACCCCCTTTTTCAGTTAGAACCAGCATCAGCACTCCCTCACATCGACAGGCCTTTCCACCTCTGAGTATAAGTGCTCACACAATCCCTTTTACACAAGCAGCCTGACCCCAGCCTCCTAACCTCCTCACCGCTGGCCCTGCTGCCCATCCCTCTGATCAGACGTGGACAGATGTTCTCTGGTGGAATCTCTGTAGCCTCTCTCAAGCCCAGCTCACTCATACTGTTCAAAAAAACACCTTGCCCCCTCGACACAGCTCTCATTAGGAATGTTACTTTCTATGTCTATGAGTGTCTATGGACCAGATCAGGCAAAATACTACTGACCCAGTTGTCCCTAAACCTTTACGCCAAGCTGAATAATTTATCTAGATACCTGAACTAGATCACATTAAATTTTAAAATACAAGACAAAAATCCATGTAATAAAGTTAACAACATTCCAAAGGCTCTTTAGGATACTGAAAATGTTATTAGGGGGACGTGGAGGAGAACAGAGGCACAGAAATGGTAAGGATAAAAAAAGAAAAGTTTTAATAAAAAAGTGTGAAGTCTCAATTCCTAGTTTTCTTTAAGAGCATGACATATATGCATGGGCACCAGATATCCTGCAAATAGTCTGAATGAAGGGGATGATCTCGAGATCACTCCCAGGTCATAAATTCATTTAGAATCTAAGGCGTATTTGTTAGAATTAAAGGCTAATGTAATATTCAACTGCACAGTTAGTGATCCAGGGCATTTGTATGAGCAAAATTTTTCATTTTAGGATAAGAGAGTAGATGTGGGAACAGGAAAAAATATTCAACAATAACATGGTGATAAGAATTAGGCAAAAGTAATTAAGCATATAAAATAAATTCTAATTAAACTTTTTAAGTGAAGTACTTAGGGCCTTTACACTAAAAAACAATCACTTTCTGAGGTAAATTAAAATGGAAGTGAAAGAGCCATGAAAAATTCTTGATAATTACAACCTCCGCAAAACCCTTATTCAAAGTCCTAGATAAACTACATGAGGCTGAGGCAACTACAGAGGGAGACAAAGGGACACGTGCTGTGCCCGGTCCCCGAGCTGATCTGTCACTGTAGATACACATGCACACACCACTTTTAAAAAATCTAGTTTAACGACCTTACTACTGTACCTTTTAGATGCAAGAAATTAAACATGAGAGAAAAATGACTGTACACCATACCAACAAAAAATTTCACTTACAAATCAAATTAGAATTGAAACCTATTTCTTAGATTGCTTCATAAAAACACACCATTACTTTTTTTTATTGTTGCTTTATTTGTCAAGGGACAAAAGACTTAAGAAAAACAATCAACTGATTGACTCGACTTAATAAGTTAGACTTACGTTTTCTGGTTCAACACCAATGTCTTCACAAAATTTCTCCATGCCTTCGGGACCTACAACATCATCAGTACCTGTGGTGAAATGCAATCTTATATAAATTAAATCTAACCATGTGCACTATTACTACTGTGATAGGATTATATTGTCAAAATATTTATTATCCAAGTAAACTAAAATCAAATTAACAATTAAGGACTAGAACTCCTTTCTGAAGAAAGAAATCATCAAGTATAAATTGAAAAATATTCTGACATATCTTTAAAGGATTCTACTCTGCACAGTCATTTAAGTCAAATCATTGCCATGTCCCTCAACCTATGGACATGTGATAGACATAATTTATGTCTAAAGATAAGGTCACCTGCAAAGTCACTAATAACCCCCTAATTGTCAAAGGTAATAGATGTAGCAGTCCATCTTTATGTTACTGGATTTTTCTGTGATACCTGACCATTTGAAGTTCTCGCTTCACAAAACTTGTCTCCTCCCACAACTTCTGGAAGTGCCCTCTGTCATCTGGTTTTGCCACCTCTCCTCCTTGGCTTCTTTATGGGTTGGGTCCTTTGCTTCTCCCAACTTGTAAAATGTGATGTGCAGAGTTCCATCCTTAAACCTCTCCTAATCCGTTCTATACACTCTCCCTAGGAAATTTCAATCATATCTGAGGTTTCAGGTACTACTACCCAGATCTCTTTCTAGCCCACACTTTCCCCCTGACTTTTGGGCTGTCTACATCACCTCCTCTTTAACTAACACAACTCAACTCATCTTCTGCCCCGAACTACTCCTCCTGCATTTCACACTTTCTACTATCACCTCACTAAGCCCATCATCTCTCCATGCCAAGCCTGCTTATCCTCCTGTATTCTGTCTCAACTGGTGGCACCACCAGAAATAGAAACCTAGGAGTCATCCTGTATTCTTCCCTTACCCACTTTCCGCATCCAATCAATATTCAAACTCTTTCCTTCCAAATATGTCTTAATTGGACCTATCCTGCACTGACCTATTCAGGCTCTCTCCTTTCACTGAGGTTACCCCAGCAGTCTCTTCAGGATCACCCTAATTCCACAGCCTTGTCCCCCTCTGACCTTTTTCTAGTCATTATTTTTCTCCTTTTATTTTACATATTTTTCTATGTATTCCCAACTTTCTTAATTTGATTATTAGAGGAAAAGTTATCGCATCAAATAAAAGTTTACTTAATTTTTAATTTAGTTACTTTTTTGCTACATTAACATATAAACACGAGACAAAATCTCATTTAAAAGTGAAAAATTAAAATATTTAAAAAGCAAAAGTTTCCCCTCTAATCCCTCCGTACTCTCCAGAGACAACCATTTATTAAAGAATCCCTTTAAGTACCCTTCCCAAACCAAGTTTCTACATACATATTTATTTGCTGTTTCTAAATTTGTCCAGGCAATTCTCTTTGGCTTTCCAGGTATACAATAATTTAATAATTTCATCTCCAACAAATGATCATTTTTGTCTCCTCCTTTTCAATATTTATGCCCCTTCTTTCTTTCGCTTATCTAACAACACTATGTAATAACTTACAAAACAATGGCAAATAAAATTTCTTATCTCATTCTTGATTCAAATGTGAATCCAATTAGCATTTTTATCATTTGATACCTTGCTAGCTTTAGGTTTGAGAGCCCATATACCCACATGCACACATTCATGTATATGTTACACCAAGAAGACATTAATACATTCACGAGGTAAAATGTTCAAATAGAGAAAGACTGAGTAAAATACAGTAAAAAAGAGAAAGCCTGCCTTCTCCTTTTCCTTATTAATTAGGTGTGTATTCTCCCAGACCTTTCTGTTATGTATTCATGTATGTGCAAATACACAATAAAAGCAGTTTTAAATTTATCTATACACATGGGTTCATGCTATATCTATAAATTCTACATCTTGGTTTTTTCATTAAGTATGTCTGATAATCTTCCTGTGAGAATACCTCTGCATCTACTTTGTTCTTGTTAGCAGACACATTTTCCATTACTCCACTGTATGTAATGTGTGTGTGTGTGTGTATGTTCATCATTCTACTACTATAAAATACTTAGGCTGTAAGATTAAAGAATAATTATTCTCACAAGGAAATAGCCATCTGTCTTTATTTTGCTAAGAGGTTTTGTTTTTAGGAAAAGATGCCTTTTTGTTATTTACCAATAGGACTCACAGAAGGTGGTTGCATAGAGCTGAAAATAAAAAGTTACTTTTTAATCTCTTTGGCTTCCAATTTGGCTGATTTTATAAAAGCTCTTTCACTGTAACCTATTCTTGAGCCTGGCCAGCCACCTGCATTTCCCGTGCCTGTGCACCAGGCCTGGGAGTCTCCAGGCTGCTCTCCGCCTCTTGCTCCCTCCCTCCTGGTTACTGCCTCCCCGCTCTGTCAATACTCATTACAAAGATGATGCTTCTCAGTTTGTCCATTTGTCACACTAGAAAATGAGCACAGTGCTTCTGTTCACTGCACCCCCGAGCCTGGCACATGGCAAGCCCTCAAAGAAGGGTCTGCTGATGTACACTGTGCAGGAATGTTAATTATCCATGCTCTTCCTTTTTTCCACATTTTATGCGATGCCACTGTCGTATTAATTATATGCATTTTCCCTGTGTGTTTTGAAAGAGCAACAAGTTTTCAACAGTAGGATTTGCAATGGTATGACTTGCCAAAAGTAATTATTTTATCCTAAAAAACCTAAAATATAGCTTGTCAATTAACACTATTAAAAAGCTACCCATAATCCTATTTAAAACAACTTCTTCTTTCATCTCATTAATCTTTCTCATGAACTTATTTAGATCTATCTGTAATCACATTGTTCATTGGGATTATTGTAATATTTATACTGAATTTATCAACTCCCTTGTAGAATTGAACAATCGCATTCTAACAAATATGCCACTGACTAACACAAAGTAGGTTAGAAGTGGGGTTTGAGGAAGATGGTTTAAAAAACCATTGTATCTAAAGTAAGCTATGGAATGCCCAGGTGACAGATACTGAAGATATATTTGGAAGGCAGACATACTGACAATAACCTAGAAAAAAAGTGGTCCTCCCACTTACCCTCCCACTTTAAAGTGATTATGTCCACATCATAGAACGTGCTGGAGTTAACTGGCCAGGCAGGAGCTGGAGAGCAGGGCTCAGGCTGCAGAAGCCATGGACAGCAGTCAGCAAGGTGAGGAGTGAAACGGACAGCTCAGCAAAGAACTGAAGGTCCATCCATGTGAAACAACTACATACCAAGGACCCTGCTGCCCCTCCACTCCTCTCCAGATTAAAGTACAGGAGTCAGCCCAAACCAGCTGGCTGGCTCCTAGTGAAAGTGCACACACCAGGGGTGGTGAAGCCCTCCTCATTCCAGGGAGCTGTGGCCTCACAGACGGGCTCCCACAGACTCACTCTGCAGCACAACCTGTAAGTCATCCTTGAATAATACTGACCTATAGTTTTCACTCATGTAGTTGGGATTTTAAAAGTGAAAAAGATAACACTTGAACTTTTAAGTATTCCCAATTTCAAACCACTTTCCCTACTGATAAGATACAGAAGAAGGAAAGGAGGCAGGTGTAAAAATAGAGCTAGCCACACCCCCAGAAACTCCTTTTGAGAATGGACTACCAGGAACCAACCAACCAGGACCTCAGGGAACCTAAAGAATGTGGCTTAAGCTTTATCCCAAATGTCATCTTTCTGGGCCAGAGAAAAGCAAACAAGAAGGAAAATTGTAGACTGCTTGCTCTCTTTTTAAAGAAAACAGAAGTGTGGCTTATACTATGAAAAAATTTATGCTTACTTGTAAAGGAAGACACACAAAAAAATCAAAATAGCTGTGCTATGACGGTGGGATTAAGTGTTCTTTTTATGTTTAAAATATTCTTTTTATAATACATTTCATAACAACAAATTGTGAGCCAAGAAGAAAGCAAAATGATACAAATATCAGAAAATTCTTCATTCATTCAGCATCCATGTAGCAAACACCTGGAAAAGTGCCTTTTTTATTTTTTTAAATCCTCACCAGAGGATATTTTTTCCACTGATTTTTACAGAGAGTAGAAGGGAGGGAGGGGGACGAGGAAGGGGAGAGAGAGATGTGAGACACATCGATTGGTTGCCTCCCGAACACAGCCCAACCAGTGCAGGATCAAATCTGCAAAGCCAGGTATGTGCCCTTGACCAGGAATCGAATCCGAGACCCTTTGGTGTGTGGGCTGCCACTCTATCCACTGAGCCCAGGGCTCAAACACTTTTACTAGGAAGACAAATGTCTTCAAGAGATTCATGTTCTTTTGTCATAAATGTGAAAACAGATAAAGTATAACATTAAGTTAGTTTTTGTACTAGTGTCTATGCCCTGCAAACAAAATCTAGCTGAAACTAGTTCAAGTAATGAAGGTGAATTCACTAGAAAGACATTGGGGTAGCTCACGAAATTCCAATGAACCACAGGAATCAGGATCGAATCCTTTCAAGTCCACACCAGAAGAGAAAGATTCTTCTCTCAGCTTCCTGATAATCCCAGAAAATTTTGCCTGATTGGCCAGGCCTGGATTATCTGTCAGCCCCTGGAACAATTTCTGTGGCCAAAAGGGGCAAGGCTCTTACCAGAAAAGGGGTAGGGCGAGGGAGGGAGGCAAGATCAGGCCATAGGAGGAATCCTCACTTTGATACCCAGTAAAATGGTATCAGAACTAGTGATGAACAATGTCCTGGAGAAGTACAAGGGCTATTAGGCTAATTAGGGGGCTTTATAGTTACAGAGCATCTTGTTAGATGGAAAAATGGAGAAAAGCACTCCAGACAAAGGGCTGGCAGGGAACTAGTTCTTTTATCCCGTAGGCAGCAGGGATTTGTGAGGTGGGGCGGGGCAGGGTGGACTGATGACAGGAACGTTGCTTTGAAGAATGCTGGGATAGTAAAGTTGATAGGAAGTTAGAACTAGGAATGAGAAAAAGAACCTCTAGTTCAAGCTTGTCTGAAAATTTTTCTTTCTCTTTTACACCACACACAGCCACAAAAACAACCAAACCTTAGATTTCAGTATTACACCAGCCAACCAATTATAATAAGTTGCAAAACTGGGACTGAATTTAACACATTTAAATGACAAAACAAACATTTTCTGCCAAAAGATCTTTCAAAATAGAAACACTTAATATAAGAAATTCTGTTGCATTGCATAATGGTTCAAAGCAGCAAAGCTTCTTTTAACTTCAATGTGTAAACCAAATAATCACCCATTACCAGCATTTGAATAGGTTTCCTAGCAATCCAAAGTACTTCTCCCAAGTGCATTTCATCTTTTCAGTTCGCTTCTAGTGTTCTGAGTTCTTTGGCTTAGCTGCTGGCTATAAATAGGACATCTGATGATTTGTTTCAATGATGTTCTCTCCCTCAAACAGGAACACACACACACACACACCCCAAATTCGAAAAGTACTTATTTCTTAATTTCCTAATCTCCTCTATGGTAGTCCCTACTTTCAGGAGGATCAGTCTAAGATGATATAAGTGATTACTTACCTGCATATTCATAGAACCACTCTAAGCACCTCTTACTTGAAAAAGCTTCTTCTTCAGTCTTTATTCTAGTTGAATCATATTTTCTATACATGCTAGAAATTGAGAAGGCAGCTTTAAGTTAGTTAAAGTAAAGATTCTGAGTTCTTTTTAAGTAGCAGATAGATTTTATTCACTTACCCAAACCACACATCTATTTAATCAGTATTTCAAGTATATTTTAAATATTTTACTTCCTGAATTTAGAAGCTTAAGCTTTTATAACTACAGTTTTAAACACAGTCCCACCCAATACAAAATTAAATGGTAAATACTTAACACAGGTTTTTCTCTGATTAACAAATCATCAGTAAGAACTGAATAGAACAGGTATTTTATAGATCCCCTTCTACCTCACTACTAGAACTACTAAGTACAGAAAGATAGTGAGATACTGCAAGAAATGTCTAACACCGTAGACATTTGATGACCCTACGACTCACTCCTGTCTCACACTAGGTTCTCCTGACTTCTGTGCCTTATGAGTTAGGCTGGGCAAAGAGCACAGTGTAAGAAAGAACCTGTCAATATTAGAGACCTCGAGGGAACATAAGAAAATAAAAAGAAACATTAAACTATATCCAAGCCTCCAGGAAAAAATAATAATAAGGTGTATAGTTGATCACACAAAGTCTCTTGAATGGTTTCTTCATTAGGATAACCTTAAAAACTTCAGGAGAAGTTTAGAGAAGCCCTGGCTTCTGCCATTCTCTCATCATTCCCTACTATTGTGGAAACAGCCAGCATAAGCTGAAAAACTGAACGCGAAAGCACAGCAGCCTCCTCCTCCAACCCTGTGACCTTCGGCAAGAAGTTCTTATTTCATAATGACCTGGGGCTAAGGACTGAAATATTCCCTACTTGGGGAGGGGAGAGGAGGCAGTATCTTTACAAATAGTGATTTGGATAGAAAAATTGTGAGTATATACTTTTCTTACCCTTCATTTATATGTAAATTGCCTAAATAGGTATATATAAATATTTATGAATATAATTTTCATTTACATAGTATATAAAAATCATATACTTCTTGTTAAATGAGCACTTATTCATGACCCACACATTCACCAGAATATATGTATATACTTCTGATTAGAAATTCTGAGTTTCAATACCAAAAAAGACATGGTTATGGGGTGGGAAGATATTTAAACTGCATACCACCAGTTTTGTTTTCTTCAATAAAAGGTAGCCATAATACCTGGAAACAAAGATGGACACTGTCCAAAGGTTCAAATAGATATGCTCCTATCCTAGTCCTGAACATTCCTCTCTCAACTCAAAAGTCTTTAATTGGTCAATAGTCTAGAGATCTATATATGACAATGTTTGAATTGCTTAAATATACTCTACATAAAAAAGAGTAATGGAATACCACTCAGCTAATAAAATTTAAAAAAAGATAGATGCTATAACATGGATGAACCTCAAAAAACATTAAGCTAAGTGAAAGAAGCAACACACAAAAGACCAGTTATATAAAATGACTAGAAAAGGCAAATCTGTAGAGCTGTAAAGTAGATTCATGATTGCCTGGGGTGGGGGAATGGAAACGGAGTGAGTGTGAATGGGCACTGAGGATCTAACTGAGGTGATGGAAATCTTCTAAAACTGGTTTGTAGTGATGGTTGCATAACTCTAACAATTTAGTAAAAATCACTGAATTTGTACACTTAAAATGGATGAACATTATAGTATGTAAAAAATGTTATGAAAAAAAAAATAACAAGGATGAAACTCAGATAATGCTATAGCCCCCTCTCCCTTGGGTGACCATGGCAATGCTGTCAATAAGTCTCCCACACCTTTCTGCAATTCCACTAGCAGTTTTTAAATGGCTTTATCATCCTAAATTTTATTAGGCCGTGATGAAAAAATAAACACCAGCCCTAACCGGTTTGGCTCAGTGGATAGAGCGTCGGCCTGCGGACCAAGGGGTCCCAGGTTCGATTCCGGTCAAGGGCATGTACCTTGGTTGCGGGCACGTCCCCCGTGGGGAGTGTGCAGGAGGCAGCTGACCGATGTTTCTCTCTCATCAATGTTTCTAACTCTCTATCCCTCTCCCTTCCTCTCTGTGAAAAAATCAATAAAATATGTATATAAAAAAAATAAAAAATAAACACCATAGATAGTCCCAAAATGCAATGTGATTATTAGAATTTGGCAATGCCTTGATAATCACATTTACACCACTCAGAAGTATAAAGTAACCTGGCTTCGTAATGCTAAAAAGCATTGGTCTACACATTGTTGGTGATTATCTTCTAACTCACGACTAACCTTCTTTTAGATAATATTTTCTACTCATTTGGGATATAAACAGGGACATTATTTTCACATTTTCAGAGTCCATCTCCCTATCCCTCCAACTGAGGTATAGCATATTAAGTATCACAGCAAAAAAGAAACAGAAAAGTCTCATCTAATCTCCTTGATTTATAGATGTGAATTCAGGCCCTTTGGTGAAATGACCTACAGAGCTAGAATAAAGGAAGATGAAAAAAGGCAGAAAGGATTAAAACTGATGTTTGTTCACTGTTTTAAAAAAAGAGGAGAAAAATGATGCCTAAAATAAACAAGTCTAACAGACCTTTGGAGTTACCAAAATTAACAGTTCACTTGTTTGAAAGAGAAGTGGTTGAAAAAAATTATCTACCAAATCTGTTTCTAACAAATCCTCACTCTTCTGAGAATAAACCTCAGGACAGCCAATACTCCCGGCAGGCTCAGAGCAGTCAGTGCAGGCCGCTTTCCGGCCACTCAGCCCCGGTCCCTTGCAAAGGCAATTACGGGATTCCTGCGGTGGTGTTTAGTGAAACACATACCAATGCTGAGGTCCTCTGCAGGCACACACAGCAAGCCCGTAAAAGGAAAGGAAGTCAACACCAGTTTTGGTGGATCAGTGGATTAAGATCAAACTGTAATTTCTAATAAGTCAAATTACCTAATGTGTTTTTTTAAATAAACCCACACATAAAATAAGTGACATGAAATAACTACAGCTTGAAAGTTTGCCATGCAGAACCAAAACAATGTTCCAGTTGGCATTTGTCCATTTAGAGACCCACATGGATGAGGCAGCATCCTGCTTTTATGACACCAGTGTCATCAATTCTGACCTACTGTCTGTGCCATACCTGTCATGTCTACTTTTCTTGGCAGATAAATCATCTCCAGAGGCAGGTCTTCTCTTTTTCCTTGGCGGCATCACTTTACTGAAGCAGTCCGAAGAACTACAAGACCGCAGGCTTCCTACAAAACAAGGAGTCAAAGGGCACGAGATTAAGGTATGCCACAGCCCAACACTTCCAAAATAATACCCCCGAACTAGAAGTTTTCATGGCTGGTACTGTAAATGGTTTAAATGTTATTTGTAAATGATATGAGATAGAAAAAAAACAAACGTTTTTAGTTTCTCTTTGAGAAAATGTTCTAGTCACACAAATAAGTTAATATTTCCTCCCCAACCACACCAGAAATAGAAGTTATCACAACTTCAATTTACTCCCCCAAAGCACTAATAATATAAATCATCTAGGCTTTCAGCTCCTCCTGCATGTCAGTGTTCTTTCGAAAGGAACTGCACTGCTATCTCTTGAAAGCACTTCACTCGGCAAGGCCAGGCCAGCCAGTCACCTTGATTCAAAACACACACAGGGGTAGCAGTCCCGACATTCTTAAGCTTCAAGAGGCATCTGGGTTTGGGGCTTAAAAAAAACAGGATTTGGATTTTTGGGGAAGAAGCCTGACATAATCTTGAGCGAAAATTTCCATATTAATGTTTAGTTCGTTTCTGCCACCTGAAAAAGAATTTGCCCTTTCACTCAGGGTTTTCAGAAGCATACCCTTCACTTTGTAAAACATATTTAAATGTAATAACAGACAATAACAACATGGAACACTTATAAAGACCTTACTGTGAGCCAGGTCCTACTGTTAACACTTACATGTATTAACTCAAACTCTTAACCTCATAACAAGCATATAAAAAAAGAACCATCAATATTGCCAATGCAGATGAGAAAATGAAGGCAGAGAGAGTTAGGTGGGATTCAAACCCTGACAGTCTCGTTTCAGACTGTCTTAAACATTAAAAATTATGAGACAATTACAAGATAACTAGAGGCCCGGTATACAAATTCATGCCCGGGTGGTGTCACAATTATAAGATAACTAGAGGCCCGGTATACAAATTCGTGCACGGGTGGTGTCACAATTATAAGATAACTAGAGGCCAGGTACACAAATTTGTGCACGGGTGGGGTCCCTCGGCCTGGCTGGCGACCAGGGCCCAATGGGGCTGGGGGAGGTTGGCTGGGAGGAGGGGCCACAGGAGGTTGGCCGGCAGGGGGTAGGGGCTGTGGGAGGCTCAGCTGGGCTGGGGGGCGGGACCGCAGG